AGCTAGTGGATCTAATTCACAAATTTATCATGTTGGAAATTTCCACATCTGGATGTGGTTTACTTTTTGGTATAATACAACTTAGGATTTGCAAACCACGTTGATTTTATGTTTTGCTTTCAGTGCAACCAACGACCGACCATAATTTTTATAATATTATTATTATTTCTTATTATTGAGTTTCGAGTTTTCTCTCTGAGTTTGAGTTTTTCTTTGTTTCTTAGGTAATATGCTCCTACTAAAAGGTTGTAAGTTTGAGTTTTATAATTGGTTCCACGTTATCTTATTCGCTTTCGTTTTTCTCACACTCCTAAGTACTTAACAAGTGGTAACACCGACATGTGATTTTGATGCATTTGAAAAATATTGAGACTTTTATAATTGGTTCCACATTATCTTCCTCACTTTTGTTTTCTCAATTGATACTCATAACGGACATGTGATCCTTATGCATTTGAAAAACATTGAGAGATATCTTTATCACTTTCATTTTCTCAACACTCCTAAGTACCTAAACAAGTGGTAATACCAACGTGTGATCATGATGCATTTGGAAAAAAAAATGAGAAAAATGAATCTTCACATTCTTTGGAGCGTTTCTTCTCCACCATTTTTTTAAAGAAAATTCTACGTGTTGGTGTTGATGTTAATGGAAGAAAATAGAAAAGGATAGAACGACGAAGATCGGACGAAGATCGGAGAAGGAGAAGGGAAAAAAAGGGACAAGAGAAAATAAGAGGAAAAATGAAACATGAGATACAAATAATATAAAATTATTTAATATTATCGCATCATTTTTTCATTAATCAACTAACCGTCAAATATACTCAGGACACCGAAATCAGAAATCCCCAGTCATCACCGTGGCTGCGCGCAACCATCCCACGACTCCAATTTCACCATCCCCATCATCGATTTGCAATCAACGGCCCAAAACCCACAATAACTGAATTTCAAAGCTCCAGTACTCCCTCTGCAACGTCCACCCACCGTCGCTTCTTCTCCTCCAATTTTTGCTATTTCTTAAGTTTTATTTATTTTTGTGAGTAAACGTGTGCGTAATTCTTCGACTTCTTCTTCTCCAATTTTTTCATTTTTAAGAAAATTCTGCGGTGTTGGCGTTGATGTTAATGGGAGAAAATGAAAAAAATATATAACAATGAAAATTGGAAAAGAAGAAAGGTATTAATATTCATGGGGTTCATCTCAAAACCAATTGACTATGAGAGGAGTAGCTCATGTCTATTATAAACCATTGTTAAGTTCCTTCTTTTATCAATGTGGGATCCTTAACAAAGGGGGAGTAAGGAAGAAAAAATTACACATAAAAAAAATAATATAAAATTATTTAATATTGTCACTCTCATTTAAAATAAATTTAAAAGGACTATTTATAATTATTTTTTAAAAGTTAGGGATCAAACTGCTATTTTTTGAAATTTAAGAACCAAATAGTCACTTAGGTTAAAACTCAAAGACCACTTATGTCATTGTCTCGATAGGCTTTATTTTTTTCAAATGTTAAATCGCAGAGAATCAGATTCAAACCAACTATTATTTTATGAAATTATTTGAAAAAATATATGGTGTATCTTAAGTTAGTTTATCTGAATTCAATTTTCTAAAGATTGGCCTCTCCCTTTTTCAGGTTCGGAAAAAATTGCTAAAATTAAGCATCCAAAGGAGGTAAATTTATAAATAACTATCCTATTGTCATTCGAAACCAACACTTTTGATGTTATTTGACCTACAATAATTTATATATGTCTATTATGGATCTCGACCCTGGTCGAGATCTTGTTATTATCACATATTTAATACTTTTGACAATTTTTTAAATCACTGTTTCCCTTTTTTTTTGCCCTTTTTTTCCCCTTGCTGTTAGCCATCAAACATTTTCGACTTCTTTATTTGACCTTGAAATTAGAAAGCAATCATCATTTATACCTTTTGCCTAACCAATTATAACTAATTAGTTAATATGTTTAATTGTCAAATTATTACATTGTCATCAACTATATCCTTAAATACCCTAAATCACCCTTTATCACAAAAAGTCTTAAAATCACAAATATTTGATGGTCTTCAAAATAAAATAAAATAAAAAGTCACCTATATTTGCCCTATTATCAAATAAACGTTTACCATAAATATTGATTAATATGGAAGTACCAAGTCACACTAATTAATGTGGTAGAGTTTTAAAATATATAATCTTATCATAAATATTTAAAAAATTGAACTTCAAAGTGTTGGATCAGGAATTTGATCAACTCTACGAACGTCGGTTCGGCTAGTATGAGTTGGATAGTGAGTTCCGGATACCACGCAGAAGACCTGCAAAACAGAGTGAACACTCCGATGCCAAATTAAGTAAATGTCCAAAGCAACTTGAGAGAGGGAATCAGATTGTTCGTGTCCCTCCAAAATGAAGCGTAATGGTTCTATTTATAGGTGAAGTCCCCGACAATGTTCCTGACAAGGCCTCAACGGCTCTTTAAGGTAACCGTGAAGTGCGGCGTGATGTTGCGGAGTCTGTCAGAGAATGAGCTGAGCCGAAGTGATTCAAGTAACTTATTTGATCGGCTCGGTACGAGGAATCATGACCCAAGTGAGTAAACAGGTTTCTATGAAAGGGGAGCCACATGTGCTCCTAGGCACCCAATCATAGCATGCTACATGTGAGCTTAGAAATTACCTCCAACACAAAGAAAGAAAAGGATTAACACCTTTATTGTCAACCAAAAGGCCAAAGGTTCAAATGTTCACTCTTTTTAACTCAAAAATAAATAAAAAATAAGACAACCTAAAAAATTAAAGTCCCAACAAAATGTTGCATTAACTTGTGTGAAAAATCATATTTGCAATGAAAAATGAAAAATTCACATTTCTAATATTAAGGATCAAACATAGAGCTTATTGTCAACAACCTAAGAAGTTCTAGAAAGTACAATTGATTTACATAAAGTTGCATAGTTTTTCACCACACACAAACACTTAGATAGTTTTTTTCCTTTATTGAGTACAACAGTTTGGAGATATGAAGATCGAACTTAACCCGAGGAAAGAAATAAATGTCAATTACTGCTGAGCTATGTTCATGTTGGCACAAACACGTGATAGTTGAAGAGTAGCAGAAATAAAAGATAGCCAAAGCTAATTATCTCTTATAATGCTTGTCTATGGGTTCTATGACATCCAAATTAATCTTCATTCCAGTGGGGAAAAACAGCCATATCTCCAGCCCCAATTTCAAATGTCTCATTGTGCTCTTCGATCTTGATTTTTGCTTTACCCTCTAGCTGATACACTGTCTCCATCGCACTGAATGTCCAATCGAATTTGCTTGGACCACAACTCCACCTATTTGTAATTACAACAATCACCAACACCCCACGTTAAATATTCTCATCAATTTTCATTCTTGAGGTTAAATAAAGAAAAAAACAACAAATGGGGCCAAAGGAAGAGGGAGATTTAAAAGTAGAGATTCAGAAACGAAATAATAGACGATGTTTTTGTAGGAAGGAGATAATTGAATATAAGTCAACTGATTAAGATTCCAACCAATAGGTCGTGACAATCGAAAGAAAATGGACATACTTGGGCCATGTGTAAACATCTAGCTCCTTGAGTTTGGCCTGTGGAACATTCCGTTCGATCCGAACTCCAAACAACTCAGTGGCCATGGTCTTTAATTTTCTCTATATGAAATGAAGTGTGTATTGTGTAATGTTGTTATTATATAGTGTGATAGCTAGTTGTAGAATATTGAGGAATTTCTTTCCCCTTTTACACCAAAAATTTAAAAAAAAAAAGAAAAAGGATGGGGAGCGAGTGGATCTAATTCACAACAAATTTATCATGTTGGAAATTTCCACATGTGGATGTGGTTTACTTTTGGTACGATGCAACGTAGGATTTGCAGACCACATTGATTTTGTGTTTACTATTAGTGCAACCGACCACTGTTTCTCATGATTGAGATTTGAGTTTCTTCCTTAATAAGTTTAATTATCAGTTTTTCTGTGTTTTTTAGGTCAAATTTAGGATATTGCAATGTACCAAAATATATATTTCCTACTAAAAGATCTGAGTTCAAATCTCACTCGTCTATATTGTACTAAAAAACATAATTAAGTTATTTTTCTTTCGAGTTTCTATTTTATGGCTTATAAGTTTCTACGTTTAATGTTGTTTTAAGTTGCAGGTTGGTTATTAAATTGGGTTAAAGATAATTTAAACGCATCGGATCTCTTTAATTATCTCATTTTTCATTTCTTTGTCATTGTTGAACAAACATTGAGAGTTTTATAATTGGTTCCACGTTATCTTATTCGCTTTAGTTTTTCTCAACACTCCTAACTCCCTAAACAAGTGATAATACCTGTGAAAAATGAATAAACCACCACTCAACCAAAAAACTTAAGCTGATGAATTGGGTAAATTTAATTCATTTATGGATATCTAATAACAATGCCGACATGCGATCTTGATGCATGTGAAAAATATTGAAATTTTTATAATTGATTGCACAGTGTCTTCCTCTCTTTCATTTTCTCAACACCCGTAATGGACATGTGATCCTTATGCATTTGAAAAACAATGAGATTTTTATAATTGGTTCTACGGTATCTTTATCACTTTCGTTTTCTCAACACCCCCTAGGTACCTAAACAAGTGGTAAAACCGATATGTGATCATGATGTATTTGGAAAAAAAAAATAGAAAAGTGAATCTTCACAATCTTTGGAGCGTATCTTCTCCACCATTTTTTTTTTTAAAGAAAATTCTACGTTGGCGTTGATGTTGATGTTAATGGGAGAAAATTAGGAAATGATAGAACAACGAAGATTGGAGAAGGAGAAGGGAAAAAAGGGGAAAAGAGAAAATAAGAGGAAAAAATTATACAAAAGATACAATTAATATAAAATTATTTAATATTAYCACATCATTTGAAATAAGCTTAGGAACTATTTATTACTATTTTCTAAATGTTAGGGATCAAACTATCCGTTTTTGAAACTTAAGGACCAAATAGTCACCTACGTTAAAACTCAAAGACTAAAAGTGTATTTTACCCTTTAATTATTTTGGAGATGTAAGAATAGTTTTTTATATTATTATTATTTATTAAAAATTCTTAAAAACAAAAAACGCGTCCCACAATTTGTGACGTTTTTTTTTTTTTTTTACTGGTCATAAAGTGTCATGGAAGCTCGTTTTTTGTAGGAGTGTTTGGCTCAAGGTGGGTGGATATGGTACTACTCTCCTCTCACATGCAACTATAAATAATGATTTCAATTAACTCAATTTCCAATGGGAGTGGTATTCAAAAAAATTAAAGAAAAATAAATTCCAACGGGAATGTGTTTGTTTGGAAGGTAGAATGTGAGGTGAGAAATGAGCTGAGAATAGGCTTATCCGACTGGTCCCGAAACCACAAACGTATGAAATTTTGGGTTTAAAAATAATTTTTAAAATTCTCAATGAATAACATAAAACCATCCACTTGGGATGTCTCAAATAATTTCTCCAATATTATAAAAGCAAAAATTTTACATCTCAAAATTATGATGATGAGGTGAGCTGTTTTAAATCCTACAAAAGTAGCTTATACCCTTAGATTTTGATCATCACAATTAAAATGCTTTAAATCTCGTCAGTTGTAACGTGTGAAAGAGGGTTTTGATTGGGTTTGGGAGGGTGTTTTTGACCTAATGAATTTTTTCTTTTTTATGGGCCATGATATTTTTTTTTTCAGTTGGTAGTTTTTCGTGTAAATATTTTGTTTATTTATTAGTTTTATTTTTTAAATTTCTTTTTTATTTTTGCTTATTCTTGCGATAGAAGTGAGATTTCAGTTAGTATTAAAGCATACATGCTAGTTTTCTGGATGACCTATTCTAGTGGCTAGAGGGTCACATTCAAACCCATCCAACCAAAGGTGCAAAGAAGATCTATTTTTATTGGTCTATTATAAATATCTAAAATTATCTCATTTATAAAAAAGTTTGAACTACTACATCATAGTTCAATTGTTTAAGATATATATCTGGATTAAAAAACAGTACCCATGTTATTTTAAGAAAAACTAAAAACTGACTTTGTCAAACTTTGATCTATAAACTCTTTAACTAAGAACTAAAAAAATATACAAACATAAAAATTCATAGACTAAATGTATCATTTTTTTTTCTTTTACAATAAAAGTATAGAGACAAAAATCAAAATGAATATTTTAAAAATCTAGAGACTAAAATATATGTGGGATAAATTATGCATCAAATTGATTTATGTTGAGTATTTATTTTGTCAATATATAATATTTTTCGTTGGTTGTCAATAAGACCAGACCAAGCAGGTCAGTTAGAAACACATGTACAGGGTCGTGAGCATCCACCAGTAGACCCGCCTGTTCCGACTTTTCCTCCAAGTACGTTAATTTAAATATATGTAAAATAAATAAGTATGATTTAACTAATTGGTTTACTGTTTGGAAACATACAGATAGATTAGGTGTGCTATACTCGATTGATAGAGCTAGAAAATCAAGTTCCTACAACGAACTTAAAGGTACATATCGAATGTGACCACACAGTTAATAAACCAATATGTCTCATGGCCACCACATTCTCTATGGCGATCGGGGTACATACACGCGAACAAGTGGACCTAAAGGTTAACAAGTGGAGTGAGGTCGAACAAATTGAGAAGAGGGCAATTATAACTCAGCTCAAGGTTTGAGATTAATTACTTAATATGTTTTATTATTTTTTATGATGCAACAGTAATAACACTTAAACATATGTTCGATGTTTTTTTTGTTATAGGGTCATTTTGATTTCAACGAATCAGATCGAGTTATGATGAAATTCATCGAGCATGAGATGAGATCGACACATAAGGCGTATATGGCAAAATTGTGCCAACACTACCTGAGTTATCCCACACCTGAGATTGCGCGCAACAATCCTTCGGAGCAGTTGTTGGCAAAACCAGACAATTAGAACATGTTGTGCGATAGATGGGAGACAGATGAGTGGAAGATAATTTACGAAAATAACTTATACTTTCTTTTAGAATTTATATTCAATATATATTTTCATTTAAGTTTTCTTTTGTTAGAAAAAATCTGAGACCAACAAACGCAACAGGCGAAGATGTCATTCAACCATCGTACGAGGCCGAAGACATTTGCTATTATTGCAAAGGAGAAGGTACAATGCAATAATATTTTTTTAGCCATATATTTATATTACTTAAGATCGATTATCAACAATTATGTGTTATCAATTGCAGAAAGAAGAAGAGGGATGTGACAACACTACTAGAAAATTGGGTTTTCGTGACGTTCATGAACAGTAAAATACTGTTCAACATAAAAATATGCGTCACAAAAGGCAAAAAATGCATTTTTGGAGGGAAAAACGGAGATTTCCAGATATTTGACCTTTCGTGACGTTTTTTAACCGTCCCAAAATGGTGGTCAAAAAGTTGGTTTTTTGTGACGTTTAAAAAACGTCACGAAAGGTTGAGGTGCGTTTTTGGTGGGAAATGAAGGAGTGTTCCGAATTTTTTACTTTTTGTGACGTTTTTCTAACCGTCATGAAATGGTCGTAAAAAAGTTGGTTTTTCGTGACGTTTAAAAAACGTCACGAAAGGTTGAGGCGCGTTTTTGGCGGGAAATGATGGAATATTCCGAATTTTTTACCTTTCGTGACGTTTTTCTAACTATCATGAAATGGTCGTAAAAAATTTGGTTTTTCGTGACGTTTAAAAAACATAGAGAAAAATAGATAAAAAAAAGTAATTAATTAACTTAAACAACTTTGAAGCTAATTTAATGGAATATACTATTTTTTTTTAGGGTTTGTTAGAATTTAACTTAACAAAACATAAAAACCTAAAATTTAGGTGGTAGAAATTCTCACTAACTAAATTTTGAATCTCATTAAAAATAAATATTATTTTGTATTTCTATTTCATTTTAAATAAAAATATTTAGGAATGGGTCAATTTTCATTATTTTATATTATTTTTTCACCCTAAATGTAATGTCACGCGTTCTCGCGTTAGTTTGCTTTTAAGATTTAATTTGTAATTTCGGATTTTCTCCTAAGCTGATAATTTAAATTCTTTGATTTTTTAAATTCAATAAGTTGGAATTTAAATTAGAATTTAAGTTTAATTTTGTTGGACTAAAATAAATTAAGTTAGTGAATTTTACAAAGAGGATTTCAATCAAGTCTTAATTYAAAGTTTTTTAGATTTTATTCTTCTGTTTTTAAAATTAAGTTATTCTCTTAAATCCTTTTTGATTTTAGGAGGAGTATTTCTCTTAATTTTTTAGAACATTAAGCTATTAAGCTATTGGTGGTGTATCCATGGATTGGTTTTTTATAAAATAAAAGAAAAGAAAAACCCTAAAACACCACTGCAAATCTGGGTTTTAACCCCAAAAATATTTTTCTCCCAAAATTTCTGCCTCCCACCTCTCTCTGCGGCGAAACCCTCCATTGTCGTTCTACTCGTTGCCATGGAAAAGGGGTGTGAACGGCCACAATCTGGCTGCACGAGTGACGATCTGGCAGTACGGAGCAAGGGTCCGACAGAGAAAGACCATTTGCGACAATGAGCGGGAGTGACGATTCACGGCTACGAGCGACAAACCGGCGGTAGGGTTATTGGAAATAAAGCTACGATTCTTCCATTCTTGAACACCAAAGGTATTATTTCATGCTTTATTCTTAAGCAATGGTAGGTCAATTTCCATTCAATCCTCTCTGTTCCCTTTAATGGCTTACACTCC